CAATTTCCTTGCTTCTGAATCATTCCCATGGCTTTGAGGCGTTTTGAAATGGCTTGTTGAGTCACTCCCAATGATCGTGCCAATTCTTCTTGATTTTGACACGAGTCTTGCTCAAGTAATACTTCCAATTCTGCATCTTCGAAAACCTTTTCTCTTCCGGTCTTCGATGTCAAAATCACCGTTCTTGAAGCGTTGAAACTACTCACGACAACTTCTTTACTAATAGCGGCCTCACTATAAATATTTGAGAGCATTCGATGAGCCTCAGCCGCAGATTTATTCATATTGAAGCAAAAAATTAAAATCTCCCGCAAATGACGAGAATTTGGCTCGTAAACTGACATTTTCAATCGAGAATAACTTTATGATGCAAACACAAATTGACTAATGTTTCTATGGGATTATGTTGACAGATGCCCAAGTTTATTGTATGACGTCTATGATCTATTTATTTCGACCACCACTTACCGCTAAAGCTATCTATAGGAAAACGGCGGAAGCAAAGTTGTACACCTAATACAATATACAAAATAATAGTAAAAACTATTAACCAGGGTTAGCAACGTTGCCTCAAATAAATCGTTACCATTGCTATTCTTTTTCCTAAAAAACAACTCATTAACATTACTCGTTATTGATTTACAAAAGTAATTTCCATTATTTACTTAAAATGTAACAAGTCTTTTCCTTTTCATTACTATTCTTCTACTGCCAATGAAAAACTATAATATTCTGACACTAACAGAATATTATAGTTTTTCATTGGCAGAATTTGTGTGCATTCAGTGCACATTAAAGTTGTTATACACTATTCTAATTTGAATGTAAAAATGACATATCTCTCAATTGACAAAATACCTAAAGTATATTTTATCAAATAACATAATAAAATGTATTGAAAATTTCACGGTTTAACTTATTTCTATATTTTTATTAAACATACATCTTTACATCGATTTGTTACAACAGCTAAAAGGATTCTAGAGTGAGCAAATTATCGGGATTTTGCAGATCAATATAAATCTCCAAATTTATTGAACAGAATCAAAAATTCTTTTACAAGATTAAAGTAGACACAATTTGATGGTGCTGTAATGGTTCATACTAAAATCGAAAAAAAAAACTTATATTTTTTTACTTTAATACAAAAGTTTTATAGTTTGTGTGGATCAAACGACAGTGCAGCACTAAACGTACAGTTATATATCATTGCATTAATATAAATCTTCTCTTTAAGCTTTTAATCTTAGTTTCATAAACTCAGTATTGTTTGTGCATATAAAGCGCTAAAGTGCTGAATTGTCCTTTTTTTGTCCATATGAATTATAAAACTTTTATATTAAAAAAACCATCTATATCAGATAATAGCTCTATGAGTTGAAAAAATATAAGTTTTTAAATTTTTTAATGCAAAAATGAAAATAAGAAGAATAATCTCTAATGGCCTTGATCCTAACAAATGTTATCCAGGACATGATCAACATTTTGAACAAGAGATTTTAACCGTCGGACACCTTGCGTAATGCTGCCAGCGGTACTATAAACTTCAAGCCATTTAACTCAAAAAATAATTAATGAAAAATAACTTTATTATAGTAGTTTTGAAAAGCTCTTGACACTAGCTATTAAATTCTGATTTCATCAAAAAATATCCCATTTAAAAAATCGATTTGATCTTGATCTAACTTTGGCGACGCCACTCAAAGTCAAACTGATAATATTAATAAATAGATCTTTTAGAACCCCACAACTTTTGTCTGAAACATTTTTCTGTAAACATTTTTCTTATATTTTCCGAGATATTTAGGTGTCCCGACCTATT